AGGCAAACGCCTTTGAACTCCCTCTTGGTACATAGGACTTAAGAAATGCATCGGCACAGCCGAACATTCCCAAGAAGTCGTTGACACAATTGTAGACGACTACTCGCTTGTTTCAAGTAATACACGCAGTTAACACGAGCCAGCAGTGTAACTGAGCAAGAAGAGCAGACAGTGAAAACACTCCTCACCGAGACCAGAGTTGTAACTGAGCAAAGAGCAGACAGTGAAAAAACTCCTAAGGCTGGCTCATAATTCAAAATGGAATAGCTAGTTAAATGAGCGGAAGCTCGTCAATCAAACCATATTTTCTGCGAGTGGCTAGCTCAGTACCTAAAATTAATATAAATGAAGCTGCTCATCACCCCAGGGCTCCACTATAGACGGGTCCGCAATCGCGTAAAAGCAAATGGATTTCATGGATGGGATGCAAAAATCGGACCACTTCTTACAAAGTTATCCTTAGTACCAGTAACGCTCCCCTTATTTCTCTTCAAACCATCAGTGCGAAATAAAATGGTTTGCTATCGGGGGAGGGGGGACAGCCTTCAAACAATAATTTTGAGCCGGCCTTCGCTGCACCAGAGTGGAACTCCTTGCAGGAAATGCTCTAGAATGATTTTATTACAAAGAAAAGACATCACTAAAGCTCTGACCTGGTTTTCGACGAGGGTGCTTCCATCTCTCAAATCTTCTTGGTTCTCTGAAAATCCAACCTATAGCTCTAGGAGAGCGTTTTTTTTTAAGTAAATGAGGTTCAGCTCTTTAATTTACGCAGAAATTAATTTCAGTTCTTGGCGTACATCAGTGGTGTATAACGGTTTTCGAAAGTCCTTTGACATACGGGATCGCTCGCCAACATTTGGGGTGGGTGCGATTTTTTGCCCATTTCGTTTACGTATGCACTGGTTGACGAAGTTGCGCGGGTAGCAATTTTCTCTCAAAACCCATCAAGGATATTATATTTCGGCAACTTTGTCTTCTGGCTTCCTGCGGGGCGTCTCAACACGCCGATAAAGCGTCCTTACGCAACTGCGTTTGTGGCTGCGTTTGGATGGTTAGAATCGCTGGCCTTCCAACACCACAGACCGAAATGTTGGACGATGTATGTGGATGATGCCTTCGTCGTCATCGAACGGGATCAGGTGCTGACGTTCAAAGCAGGTCTCGACAGCGTCTTCATGGACATACAATTTAAGACGGAGGAGGAAGAAAACAACCAGCAGGCCTTCCTTGATGGCGTCATCTGTCGGAAAGATTGTGGTGGCCTAAAGATCAAAGACAAACGCGATGCAAGTAGTGAACTTAAATCCCTTACGTTAAAAACGTCTCGGGGGCCGTCGGCCGCCTTATCGCACCACTTGGAGTTGGAGTCGCACACAGGCCGAAGGCAACTAATAGGCGTCAGATAATGAAACCGGAGAACCCAGTGCCACGGCAAAAAGCATCAGGAGTAGCATATAGGATCTGATGCAGTTGCGGACAAAGCGAATACGTCGGAGAAACGGGTGGAATTGCTGAGCGCGCGGCATCAGGGCGGAGAAATGATGGCAATTCTCAAATTGTGGCTAATTTAACGAGACCCAGCCAAATGTGATAAGGCCGACATTCACGCAAGAGGTGACAACTGTTTGAGTCGAGAATCACTTGAATCATAATCTGCATACAAACGTAACGACCTGTCCAATGTTTACTCCGTGCCGAGGCTCAATTTGGCCAAAACAAAATGCCACTTGGGGAAGGCACAGACCACCGCGATGTCTCATACCAACACCGGAGAACCAGACGGCCGAGCAATCATCACCTCCCCCTAATTTCACCACACGTGATTTGAGTTCAACAGGTCACGGACTGCATGCCGATCACCAAACCATTAACACACAAGAGGGCAATTATTGTTAAGTGTCATAAGTTTTCCATAAATACTGTAACTTCCTGTGCATGTAGTACTCAGTTCTACTGCTGTTTTATGCTGATTTAACTGAAGAAGAATCCGAGAGGGATGTCGAAACGTCAGGCGGATAAAGGTCTTGCCCCAGAGATCACATCTGCTTCTTCAGACATTTGGCAGTTGTCCCTGTGCCGTGTAAACTGAACGACATTGGCATCAAGTAACAAATTCTGAGGTGGATAAAGGCATTTCGAATTAACAGTAAGCAGAACTTCTGGATGGAGCTCAAATCGGTCTGATTGGACCATTCAGGTGATCAGTTATCGGAGCTCCGCCGTTAAACTCACACGAACGTTGTTGAGCCTAAGCGTTCTTGAGTCACTTGGTGTCCAGATAGATCCCCTAGGCCAGGGGTCGGCAACCCATGACTCGCGAGCCATATATGGCTCTTTTGATGATCGCGTATGGCTCTTTCAGAAA